CTTCAGCAGCAGTTTCAGTCATCCCAGCTTCTACATCCACTTTTGCAGTGTCTTCATTTTGAGTCATGTTTAACTCAATGCCTAAATCAAATGAAGGCATTGAAAATTTTAGGAATGCTGCTTTCTCCAGCTTCTCAAGGGCTTCCATAACTCCAGGCTCATTAAAGAAGTCGTCATCTTCCTCAAGGACACACTTCTCTGATAATCGTTGACTTCCACTTGGTAGATTTCCATTTGCTTGATTGAAGAAGTAATCAGCTGTGGTCAAGTATATCTTTTTCAAGATATCAGAATTGGGGAACTTTTTTGCAATGGTTGACGGCAACTTTGAAAATTCCACGAAGGCATCACTGAACTTCTGTGCCACAGCTATAATCTCCTTTACACAATGCTGAAAATTATAATATTTGTTGTTTAATAATACATAAGTTACATAATTATTGAATTACGTTACATAAAAGAGCTTTTAAAATTACATGTTGGCAAAATCCTATAGTTATGTAACAATAGATTTAAGTTACATAAAATAGTCTTTAAGATCACAAAGCCCACCTTCCTCTTCCACTGTTAATATTCGCTTTGTCACCTTTCCTAGACCAAAGCCCACCTTTCTCTCATCTTTGACTCTCTTGTCAATTCTCTCCTTGTCCCAGATTCTAATTGTTGGGAAAGCAGTTTGCATAATTTGGCCTTTGAACTGTACTCGGTCAAAGTAACATATCATTAGAAACAGTAATGGTCCACTGAACATCTTTGATTGATTAGCTTGCCATTCCTCGCCTGCATCCATCAACGATCTTCTTGTGTAATAGCACCAGTTCATCTTTGGTATATCAGCTACATTCACCAAAGACAACAATATTTTAAAATTGCTCCTCACACTCTGGTTTCCTCTGATCAAGCAAGAGACTGTGAAGACCACAAAATTTCTGATGAATCTGTCTCCAGAATCAGTATCTGCAACTATTTTTTCAATCATTTTTTATGTTTGAGGGCTTCCTTTATCAATCCCCCATTCTTCTCTCCATTGTTGCAGCAATTGGGTATACTCTTCAGTTTCATTCTTCGCATTCGCTTCTTGAACTTCAATATTTCCTTTTGGCAGACCAAATACAGCTTTGACATCTTCATCTTCAATATCTAGCAGCTCACCATTGGCAAGTTGCAGCTGTCCTGAAATTGGTCTAAAGTTCTTCAACAGAAACTCAACCAAATCTCCATAGAATCTGTCAAAGCTTAAATGCAGAAGTCCCCCAAATCCAATCCTTTCAACTGCTGCTTTTTTGTTTTCATCTAACAGTTTAATCAACTTCATGAAAGGGGCTGGTCCTACTCTTGTTCTGAGGTTTACAGAAGGCGGCCTGTTGCTTGCCTCTACTTCTTCACATTCATCGTCTGATTCTTCAGATTCTTCTTTCTGCTTTTTTGGGGCTGCTTTTCTTTTTTTTGCTTGTTGTTGGCTGATGATATTCTAGCCTTAGAATTGGTTCTTCTGTGTTCACTATTCTTGCAGCTTCATTCTGATGTTCTGTTTGATGAGTTTCATTTTCAGGAGCTCTAACGCCTCTTGTATTCCTTATGTCAGGGTTACATAAGGTTACACATATATTACATAATAGTGAAATGCATTTACATCATGAAAATCAGATGAACAATGTAATGTGGACCAAATCAGTTACATATTGTCACACACAAGTTACATACTGGAGCACATGAGGTTACATCGTTGACAATTAGATGAACAATGTTATGTGGACCGCATCAGTTACATCTTGTCACATATAATATACATATTGGAGCACATGAGGTTACATCATTAACAATCAGATGAACAATGTAATGTGGACTTAGTAGTAGTAACAGATCAAGGAGAAGGATTTACGTATTATTATACACAAGTTACATAATATGAAGTAAAGTTAATCTGGTCTTAGTTTCAGTGACATGCAACACTATATTACCAAAAATTTTCAACGACATACTAAGGCATAACAAACATATTGAGGCATGGAACACTATATTACATAAATCAAATCATTTAGAATATGTAATCTGAATTCCAGTACTTATATAACTCAGGAATCTAACTAAAAATTGTAGTTACATATTTTTAACAACAATTGAAGTTAGATCTGAGCATACACTTTGCCGCACTTACTGAAATTGACATTACAATAAGACAAATCACACTATTCAATACTCAATCTCTTTCGTTTTTTGAGAGTGACTTACATGCATGTTGAAAGTTAAAGCAATGAATCATATTGTTACATGCTCAGACAGTCAGACGTACATTTTGAACTTGAAAAAGCAAAGTTCATAGTTCGTTTGTATGAAATACCTGTAGACTCTTTTGCCTTTAAACCTCGTCATTTTCTCGATCTGCAAAAGCTTCTTCTTCGTTCGGATTCCTTACTTTTCCTTCTTCCTTACTCTTCCGTCTGGCGGAATGAACTTCGAATGGTGATGAAAACCTTATGGAAGAGTGAAGTGAGAAGTTTATCGAGAAGTGTAAATTCCGAATTTCAAAAGACGCTATTGATAGGGCGTGAAAGGTATAACCGCATTTCAGAGAAAAGACGCGCCGGCTTGCAGAATGCCGTTTCTGTGCGTTTTTTTAATTAATACTAAAACGACGTCGTATTGGAGGCGGGTGTAGCATGCTCATAGTGGGCCGGTCATATGGTATACGGACTGCGATTCGGATCCCACTTAAAACAAGAGTTTTTTCTTAAATTAATGCTAATTAAATAAGGAAAAATTGAAAATAATAATCCCAATTATTGCCGATCCGCTGACAATAATCCCAACTATTGATTATTTTTGTATAATCCCAACTATATGGACCGTCCGCCAATAATGGTCCATGATCATATATTACCTCCTATAACAACTGATTTTTAAATAGAAATTAAGCATAAAAATTAAAAGTTGTGATTATTTATAGGGATTACTTGTTATATCTCTTTTCATCCACTTTAAAAACTACAAGAATTTATTTATAGGGACCATTATTGGCGGAAGGTCCCTATAGTTGGGATTATTCTGAAATAATCGATAGTTGGGATTATTATGAGCGGACCGCCAATAGTTGGGATTATTACTATCAATTTTTCCATTAAATAAATATTTACCAAAATAAGGTTAAGCTAATAATAATTCCCAGATTACTGCTACCCTGGTTAAACAAACCCCCACACGCGTACCGCTGATCTAGTGATCTCGAGTAAGCCACAAACGTGAATACTAGCAATTGGGTCCCTCACAATCATAAAATCCATTTTTCTTTAAATAGCTATAACTTTTGTATTTTTGCTGTGTTTTGTACTAAAAAATATATCAAAATTCATAATTTTTTATGAGCTTTCATTTGACACCAATATTGCATATATAATCTTTTTTAAAAATGAAGAGCATATGGAGTCCGTTTGAGAACTCTTTTTTTCGACTAATCAGTCTTATCAACCAATTTTTTCACCAAACACGAAACTTTTGATTTTGCGTGCTTATTGTGTAATAATCAAAATAAGTGAGATTGAAATTACTTTTATGGCTGCATTGGTTGAAGTTATTGTACATGTATATTGTACAAATGCTAATTGAATAAATAATTAAGAAAATAAGGTTGGGTTAATAATTACTTTTGATTTTATTCATTTTGTTAATAGAAAATATTTTGAGTTTTTTCTGAACTAATTCTAATTGAATAAATAATTAAGAAAATAAGGTTGGGTTAATAATTACCGGACCAAATTTAGTTTTTTTCTTCGGGATTTTATTTTCAGATTTGAGATTAAATAAGACAACCCTGAGGTCGTTTAGTAAATCTCAAAGTGACTGAATTGACTGATTCTGTTAAAATTTATGAAGTTTGAAATGAATGTATTGGTTGAATTGGCTTATTTATTAAAAAAAATATACTTATAATAATTTCTATTAATAAAATGGATAAAAATAGTTAAAATGTAACTTCAACCAATGCAGCCAGAAAAGTAATTTCAACCTCCATTATTTTGATTAGTACACAATAAGCACACAAAATCAAAAGTTTCATGTTTGGTGAAAAAGTTGGTTGATGAGACTAAATCGGAAGTTTGAAAAAGTTGAAAAAGTTTGAGAACTAAAAGAGTTCTCAAACGGGCTCCATATGCTCTTTAATTTTTTTTAAAAAAATTACATATGCAATGTTGATGTCAAATGAAAGCTCATAAAAAATTATGAATTTTGATATATTTTTTATACAAAATAGAGCAAAAATACAAAAGTTATAACTATTTAAAGAAAAAATGGATTTTATAATTGTGAGGGACCCAGTTGATACGTTTCACGTTTGTGGCTTACTCGAGATCAGCAGTACGCGTATGGGGGTTTGTTTAACCAGTGTAGCAGTAATCTAGGAATTATTATTAACCTAACCTTATTTTGGTAAATATTTATTTAATTAGCCTTAATCTAGGAAAACACTCTTAAAACAATTAATAACATCACCAAAATAATATATTTAAGGGATAAGACTCAGATAGGGTCTCGAACTTGGGAAAAAATGTCAAATAAGGCCATATTTAGGATGTTATGTCCGGCTGACGCCATTTGGGACGGTTTCCAGTGGATTTTTTTGATGAAATTTTTTGAGTATCTTATTCATTAAGTCTAGTTTATTCATATCAAATTTGAAGTAACAATTCAATCGGGAAGGCATTCAAATGAATTCTTGAAGATAACTGCGCTTTTTACTGCACAATTATCTTCGAGAATTCATTTGAATGTCTTCCCGATTGAAGTTTTAATTCAAATTTGATATGAGTAAACTAGACTTAATGAATAAGATTCTCAAAAAAATTCATCAAAAAAATCCACCGGGAACCGCTCCAAATGGCGCCGGCCGGACAGAGCATCCTAAATATGGCCTTATTTGACATTTTTTTTCAAATTCGAGACCCTATCCGACCCTTATCCCTATATTTAATTAAAAACAGAGTTTGCGTGCAGTACGTCAGCCTATACCCTAAAAATACATGAGCTTTCATTATTGTGCATCGGAATACATATTCGCATGGTAGAAGAGCTTTTGTTCTTCTGCAATTTGCAAACACCGTTGAAAACTAAAAGGTATGCATCACATATTTATGAAATTACATATGTTATTTATTCAATCGTCTTTCTGCAGAGACGTGGAGTACACCAACTATAACCCATGGACAACAACAGCACACTACCTGCACATGTAGATGTTCTCAATATTTCTTCACGGAATATACCAAATTATGAAGGTTTTTATCTTCACTATAATTTAGTTAATGCCTTGATCTGCTTTTAATTTTTGTTTATAGTTTTTTACTTATATCAGACCAAAAACCTTCTTTCTAATAGTTTTTCTAGGTTGTAACATAAGACTATTTGTTCTTGTAATTGTATTAATCCAATTAAGAACTACACTAGTTTAATAATTGCTTTAAGAATATATTTTACGGTAGATCCCAGTAGACAAAATGCAATAAAAAAAATACCACAGCTTATGTTCCGTAATTGCTTTTTCATATAAGATAAAAATATGAAGAAAAATGAAGATAATGATTTTATTGGACTAAATTTTTCAAGAACAGTCTAGTCTAGTGTGGTATGGACACGTATGCTCTAATCTGTTTAGGTCTTGTCTAATCTGGTAAAGTATTGTGTATATGTTTTTACTATTATCTATATGTACTCTGATCTGACCGATTTAAGGGTAATATAAATTATTCCAATTAATTTTACTTTCAGATCTGTTCTTAGAGGAGACACCTAAATTAGGCCAAGGATTTCATTCGCTAGAGGATGCACAGACTTTCTATAATGCGTATGCAAAGCTTCTCGGGTTCGGTACTAAAATAAAAAACTCATATGTTAACAAAGCTGGAGCTATGACATGGAGAGCATTTACATGCTCTAAAGAAGGCAGGACAAATGTGTCTTCGCGGAAGACTAATAAAATTGTCTTTAAAAGAAATAGGGGCCAGACAAGGTGTAGGTGTCTTGCTAAGATGCATGTTTCGTGGAATCGAGAAAGCAATTTGTGGATCGTGTCACGATTCGAGAAGACTCATAATCATGATCTTGTTAGTCCGAGTAAGATCCATTTGATTCGTTCTCACCGAGAAGTGTCATCTTCAAAGAGAGCATTGATGAATGAGTGGGGGATGCAAATATTGAGACACATACTCAAATTCGATTGTTGGAGAACAAAGCTGGAGGTCTATCTATGATGGGGTGCACAGAGACTGATATATATAACTACAGTGCGTCATTGAAGTCCAAATTTAATGGGATTGATGTGAAAACTATGATTCATGGATTTCAGACTGAAAAGCAAAGGAATTGTGACTTCTTCTACAAATATGAGATTGATAGTGAAAAAGTCCTTACTCGATGTTTCTGGACCGATAGTGATAGTAGGAATGCATACTTGTTTTTTGGTGAAGTGGTTGTATTTGATACAACATTCAATACAAACAAGTATGGCTTCTATCTTGCTCCCATCGTTGGTGTTAATCATCATCGTCAAACTACTTTTTCGGTTGTGATTTGCTAAGGGATCAATCGACAGACTCATTTTATTGGCTACTATCACAATTCTTAGAATCTATGGATCCTAGACCCCATCCAAAAGTAATAATAACTGATCAAGATGCCGCTATAGCTCGAGCAGTGGGTGATGTATTTCCAGATGCATCACATCATCATTGTTTATGGCACATACTCAAAAAGTTCCCAGAAAAGATGAATGTCTCAAGATCATCCTATACTGAACTTCATAACGATTTAGTTGACATTATTATGAGTTCAGAGAGCACAAGTGATTTTGAGCAACGGTGGTCTGATAAACTCTTGTTACCAAAGTTAAATGAGAATGGTTGGCTTGCTGATATATATGAAATCCGAGCAAAATGGGTCCCTTGTTTTGTTAAACATATTTTTTGTGCTGGAATGTTCAGTAGTCAACGTGTTGAAAGCACACATGCTTTTTTAAAAAAGTATGTAAACAAGAAATGCACTGTGAGCCAGTGTGTGACACGTATTACTCGGGCTATTATGAGACAGAGGCACAAAGAGCTTATTGCTGGTCACCGCGACCGTAATGAAGTTCCTCGGATAAGTTCATGTTATTTAATGGAAAGACAAATGGCAAAAATGTACACAAAGGCCATTTTTTGTAAGTTCCAGAAAGAATTGGAGAAGTGTGCTCTTTACACTTGCCACATGACATCTAGTTCTGCTGAAACCAAGATCTATGATGTCAAAAGATATGATCTTAATTCAAATTCTAGTTCTACGACACATAAACTGACGTATGACATATCCATGGATTTTGTTGGTTGTAGTTGTCAAAAATTTGAATTTATGGGGATTGTTTGCCGACATATTCTCATATGGATGAGGCTTGAGCAGGTGTTGTTATTGCCTGAACGATACATTCTTCATCGTTGGACGAAAAAGGAAAAAATAAACCCAGTTTATCAGCATGCAACTGGTTCGTTTGTTAGTAAGAAATTGTGGGCAAGGCGGGTGTAACTAAGGTCGTCTGCTTTTGAGATTGTTGACGCGGCATCTTTAACTGAAGAACGAAGCAACTATTTTGCAGAAGTCTTAAAGGGTGCAATGCATCACCTAGTACATATGGATGATGGAGGAGAAAATACAAACCAACCATCAATAGTGTCCTCTGAACCACAACAAGTTGTTGTGAAAGATCCAAAGTCTACAAAAATTAGAGGTTGAGGTTCACGTCTTAAGCATCCATCTGAGAAAGCTAGACGTTGTGGAAAATGCAAGAAGGTTGGACATAATGCAAGATCATGTCAAGTTTCTCAGCTAGAGAGATGAAAATTCTCCTTAATATTTCATATTCAATATTTTACATTTAACTAAGTAATTTATTTATTACTTTAAATTCCATGAAATAGTTGAGAATATTTAATATCTTTGTAACCCATGTGATTAATCTGGCAGGTCTCAAAACCGTAATAAGCAGTTTGATCTCAATCACCCGGATTTAGAATGTTGAGGAATAGCAAAGAAACAATTCTGCTAGAAGATCCTGAAGCTTGAGATGTACTCAGATGCTAGATTGTTGCTTTATTTATTGTTTCATGATCATAACATACGAAACACAATAAGTTAAATCATCATTGAGTTGTTCTTTCATATGAAGTATTATTGTTTCTGGATTATATATCAGTGTTCATGTTGATGTTAATGTGATAAGCAGTGACAAAGATTGTTTTTCATAAAAAGTTAACATTGGGTTTAGGGAAACTGTGACACCGCACCCGTGTGTACCTGAATGTACTGTTTGAAAGTTTCGTAATTTATGTATTGAACTTATTATCACCAGCCGTGTGTAATACGTGTGTTATCGTATGTAACTCATGCTTTGACATTGTGTGAAACGAGTAGTGTTTGATGTAACTTGTGGTTGGGATCCGTGTTTCGAGAGTGAGTTTCCAAATACTGATGTGGGCCATCTTGGTTAGTATAAGAGCCCGATATTATATGGAGAGAAATCACACTACGAAGACACAAATAATAAGACTCAATTTTCCTTCGTAAGGAATTATCAGTAAGGATTTTCCTTCCAGGCTGACTTGGACCGAAGGGGGTGCGTCCCACACCTTCTTGGCACTTACGAGCCAAAGAGAATATGGTATGTTAACTTTTGGGGCGGACCATGATGGAGTGGGGTTGTGTAGAGAATAAAATGATAAGGGTTGGACCCCATTTGCACTTATTTAGTAAGACTTGGTGGAGAATCATCCACACCTCACTCAACCCACTCCACACAAAAGGAATAACCTTTTTAGGAGGCCTAAGGGACGGACTTAGTACCCCCATTCAAATTTACTTGGCTTCTAAGAGAAGAGAACCAATCAGAACAAAGAAAGAGAGAAAGGAGAGAGCAGTTCGCAGTTTTCGTCACTGTGCGTAGGGTTGATTGTTCAGCCCATATCTTAAGCTTCACTCGTTCAAATCAGGAGTGTGAGGTGTCCAGAGAAAGATCTCAAAACGAGGATTCTGGAATGGTGTAGATCGCGACGATCGGAGTTGTGGAAGGCTTCCAAATCTGCGTTGGAAAGTACAAACTCGCAGCAGGGTTTCTTCTTCTCTAGAGGTGAGTTGAACCCGAAAACTTCCTCTTCTTTACATAGATCGTATGTAAGGTTTAGGAGGCTATTCTACCTTGTTCTTAGGGTAGAATGTATTCTTGATATGTTAGATATGTGAGTTTAAAGGTTAGGCACTAACCTTAAATGAACCTTGAACGGTTAGGAAGTGAACTCGCCGGGAAACACCTCTTCTAGAGGACTGTTTAGTTTCGTGGCAGGAAGGTGGAGACCACTGCTGAGAGCCGGCTGCTGAGCCAGCTGCTGAGAGAAGGCTGCTGCCCACCCATTTTTTTTACGCAAGGAGTTAGCTCGCAACCTTCCTTGGCCGAGCCTTGGTCGTTGGAGCGTGAAAGGAAGTCTAAAGCTCTTTAAGGTGAGGACGACATGTAGTTGCTTACAACTTGTAGGTTATGCATGAGATTACCTAAATGCTTAAATCATGTTTTCATAAGTAAAGATGCTTGAACATGATATGAATGATAAGTAATGGACTTGATCATGAATTTATACCATATTGATAAATATGGAGTAAAGAGGTATAAATGTGATATTATGTTAAAATGGACATTTCTAACTCATGTATGAATGATATGTATATGTAAATGAATATTTGCATGATGAGGTTTAGCACATGGGAGGCTGCCACATATCTATAGATATGTAGGGGCTACCATTATGAATAAATGAGTTGTATGAATCTAAAAACTTATAAACTTCAATGAGAGTTATACCCTTTTGAGAATAGATTTTTGTTGGTGTAACTCTGTAGCATTATTAGGTTGTATATTGGGTTGAAGTTGTTGTACCATGTATTTCTTCCGTCATATCCCTGAAGCTCCCGTCAAATAAATGAAACAACGATTAAGCTCGTCTCTCTGTATTTCCTTCCATCTTCCGTCTGCTTCTTAAATTTCCAACTAATCCGCACCTGATGGCGAAACCCAACAGACAAAACCTGACTTCCTTCTCTATCAACTACAATGTTAAGCAAACTAGACACCACATTTCCATCTCCTCAGAATCAGTGTTTTTACGGTAAGCCTGAATTCCTAATTTTATTGATTCAAATTTTAATTTTAACTCAACATCTTGATACTTCCTAAACCGGGTTTGTAGAGTCTATCTTGTTTTCCGTGAGGATGTAGTTTCATTATATATAAACTTTCCACATTAGTTAATGGGGGTAGATAATTTGCATTCATCCATATGACTATCTGAGTGTGTGGTGTGTGTTGATATTCCAACCTCCCATAAATTATGTTAGAGCATTTTTATAAAGTAATGAAGCAGTTGTGAAGGTGGTCAATTTTTCTTTCATCAGTTTACTGATTGAATATTACCACCCATGACTTGGTTTGATAGTTATACGTGTTTGAGAAAATCTCTACAAGAGACGTTTTCTTTACTTTATTCTTTTTTGGGATGATTGTGTGGTGTGTGTTGCTATTCTAAGTTTCCAACCCCCCATAAATTTTGTTAGCGCAACTTTGTAAAGTAATGAAGCAGTAAAAATGATTCACAGTTAATATCTTATCGATGCAAAAAATCCTGCCTTTTCTTTCAAAAATTTCCAAATCTTCTCAAATAGAGGTTATAAGCTCCAAATCATATATAAGCTTAACTCTTATTTAGTGTTGTTGAATAAGTGACTCCATTTGACCCGTCTTGAAACATGGACAAAGGAGTCTGACATGTGTGCGAGTCAACGGGCTAGAAAACCCATAAGGCGTAAGGAAGCTAATTTGTGGGATCCCCTCTGGGGCTGCACCGTTGACCCAACTTTAATTTGTCTTGACTTCTAATCAACTAAACTTGTGCGTTTGAACAAGGAACTTGGGTTCATTTTGACATTTAAGTTATAGGTGATTTGTGCCTTTCCTTAACTTTAATTGTTATGGTTATTCTATTACTTATCTCAGTTTATGTTAGCTTACATCCTTCAATTATATCTTTAATTTCTGTCAGGGAGAGGATTTCATTAGGGAAAGTGGAATACTATGTACAATAGTGAGACCCTGTGCTTTGTCGGAAGAACCTGCCAGTGTTGAACTCATTTTTATCAAGGAGACAATATAACAGTATGAACTCTTCAGTTGTTCATTCAGGTTTAGTTCTGAATATTTACCACATTGATATATTTTATTTATATGAACATGTGCAGGGAAAGATATCTAGGGAAGGAACTGCCCAGATATGTGTGGCTGCTCTTGAAATCCCATATGCATGTGGCAAAACATTTGAGGTAGTGATTTCTTTCTTTTAAGGGTTAGCTATATGTAGCTTCCCTGAGATCCTATCTAATTTGTCATAAAGTACACCCCTAACTCCATAGTATGATGAATGTAGGATACTCTGTATATCATTATGGCATTAGCATGAATTGAAATGTTCTCGACTGTATTTTGTGTTTTTATTGAAACTTATCTGTTGTAATGTTTTAAGGAAAGTATTTGGAACAAGTGCTAAGAGTTATTTCGTCCCAGATGCTTAATCCTACTAATGACATAATAATATCACATAATAAAACTTCCATCATGTATCATTGTCACTTATGAAAATTTCGACTTGTTATTTGTGTGGCAGGTCAAGAGTGTGATCTTGTTCAGTGAAACATATACAGTGGATCCCGAAAACCTCCAAAAGAGAATGATTACGATGTTACTCCTGAACTCTGAAAGAAGAGGTTACTGGGAAAGAAAGATTAGAGCAGCAAACACGTGGCGTTGCATGAAGAAAAATCTTTCGAAGGTTCTTTATTTTTCTGTTCTCAACAATATTACAATAGGTTACAGCAACACATTTTTCAATTCTCTTTTTGCCCTAATCCTCATTGGCTTTTATAAGTTTTTACGATAGGTTGGCAATTGCAAATGCATCTCAAAATTACAAATGTATAGTATCCTAGAGAAATTGTAGCTAGCTCAAGTACCTTAAATAAACATGACATATAAACATGTAATAAAAGAGAAGTTTAGAATAATATATATTACAGAAGCTTAGTTCATTAGAAGTCAAGACAAATTAAAGCTGGGTAATCCTTACTTATTCAACAATTCTAAATGACAGTAATCTCTATGACAGAGATATGGCTCCCAAGTTAACCAAAGTATTGAATAGAAGAATATATCAGAGAAGAAGGCATTGCTTCCATGTAAGATGTTAATACTGCTTGCTTACTACATCAGCTTCCGATTTGTTATTCTTTTTGACATAATTTTCTTGGAGTATTAGATTTTATTTTTTCCTTTGGAAATCCAAGAAAATTGTGTCAAAATGTTATTTATTTAATTAATTTTCCTTTGGGACAAGTTGCAGGCATGGTTATGTCCTCTAAGGAGAATCTAAGAAAGCAGTACCTAGCATACAACTAAAGAATCTAAGTTGCTGGTCTCTAGCTTGAAGCGACGACCTGAGATGGCGTTGTCCTGAAAAGTTGTCCCTGATGGAGCAGAGTCTTCGATGATCGCTGTGCTGCCTTGGAAACCACCGCGCGCATCCCTGGCCATCAGAGAAGAAACCCTTGTCGCTTCGCGGAAGCTTTTGCTCACCTGGACAGGCTCAATTCTAGTTTCAGCTGCAGGGTCAAAACACACCCGCTTTCCTCAGTTCCAGTGCACACAATGACGTTTATAACTTCAGAGAATAATCACCTGGTATATTTTCTAGCGATTTTTTCCATTATCTTAAAATTGGGTTTTAAGGCTGAAACATTTTCAACTTTTCCTTCAATTTTTCATGGTTTGTGTGCAGAACTTGTGAAATAATGGGAAAGGGGTACTCCAATAGGAGCCCTAACAGATATATTTATAATAGAAGAGTTGCCAAAATACAAAGTATTTCTAAATAGATATTAGGCAGATTCCCAAATATATATTAGGAAGATTCCTAAATATATTAGGCTATTACACCCCCTCAAACTGTGCGGGAGATACAACGCGCAGATTGTCTATTAAAAATGAAATTGCGAACAAAAAAAACTTTTAGTAAATATATCTAAAGAATCAATGTCTGCAGCAACAAGCAGCGAACTCAACGGTGCGTTGTGTGGACACTGGAAGCAAGCACTGTGGTCAGCGACGCGGAGAAGGTGATCTGCGCCATATCAGCCGCGCTCATCCTCAAAGGATCGCAAACTGCCGTAGATGTGACGGCAGTTGACCCCGAGGCGGCGGCGGCTGTACTAGGGTTCATGGGAACCGAAAAAAAAGAAAAAAAAACTGTATCTAAAACCTAAGCTCTTGATACCATGTGAAATAATGGGAAAGGGGTACTCCAATAGGAGCCCTAACAGATATATTTATAATAGAAGAGTTGCCAAAATACAAAGTATTTCTAAATAGATATTAGGCAGATTCCCAAATATATATTAGGAAGATTCCTAAATATATTAGGCTATTAGAACTATCTCCATCATTGGTTTAGTTATTAATCCATTTGATTTTTATACCCTCACATTTCCAAATACTGCTTGAGGGTGTTTACTAACTATTTGGATATTCAACGCAGTCTTACAATCAATGACACAAATTGAACCTTTACCAGCATATTTGCATAGTGGTAAGCAACTAAGCATCCTCCAAGTGTGACTCTTTCCATATATTAACTTCATCTATGTCATTTTCCATATCTGGCACTAGATTGATATATAGTACCTTACATTGGTATTTGATTTTAAGAAAAATATATACAGCCTCTTTGATTGCCAATTTCATCATTGAATATGTCAATAGTCATTACTTATATGTACCCCTCTGAAAAACTTTAGTGTTTAAAATGATTAAAAGTTTGTTCAATTAAGTAGAAGAAATGAGATTCCTAATGAACATATAAAACAAAATGATAACATAGTAATGGATGTATTGGGATGTGGCCCCACAACGTTTCTTTTAAACGTACTTCAAGTCTGTTTACTATCTTTTAGTTCAGTTAAGTGGCTGGTAAATTAAAGGATAATATACATGAAAGTGCATAAGTGAATAAGAAGTTCTATTAGGGATTTGGGGTGTACACCCTTTAATCTTTTAGGATACCCCAACACACCCCTTCAAATGTAAACCCTTTAATGAAAAAGTACATGGTATGTTATTGAGGAGCTGAATTTTGTGTAACTTTAGGTGGCTCATGTGTATAAACTCTAGAAGGCGAAACCAGTAACAAAGTACATGGTATGTTATTGAGGAGTTAAATTTTCTGTATTTTTAATAAACCGGAATTTGCTAAGATAATGATTAAATATATGACCATAAAATTTTCTATTTTATTGATGTTTCTTTAAATCTTAGTGCCTTTTTTCTTATTTGTATTCTCAATGCATGATAATATTTAATATAAATTATTTTATGTTCACCAAATGATTGACCTTATTTCAACATACGAAAGACTCCATAACAAATTTAAAAGTACTTGAGACGTGATAAATGACAAAGAGAAGTATTTATTTACCTAGACTACATTAATAACTTATCAAGTTGAGGGAAGGTTGAAACAAAAAGATAATGTCATTTGCTTGCAACTACACTTGCTCCATTTACAACATGATAAAGACTTTTAATTTTTTAGCTTTTGAAGCAACCACACAATGATACTCCCTCCGTTCCTAAATGTTCTTCGAAATTAAAGTGGCACGGTGATTAAGAAAGTGAGAATTGTGTGGTAGAGAGTTGTGCAGAGGAGAGAGAAATGCTGTGAACCACAAATTCTTTGCCAAAAAGGGAAAGTGAAGTTCTTTTTGGGACGGATGAAAAGGGAAAGTTGGAAGTAAATTCAGGGACGGAGGGAGTACTTAATAGAAGCCGTTGAAAAAGATTCGTTTATGAAGTTTTCATGCATTATTTGTTGATGCGCCCAAGAAAGAAACGTTAATTATACTTTCACATAAATGACCCTAAATAGCTTTCAAGAAAACTGAGAACCTGAAATTCAAGCAAATGCCCATCAAATAGTTTATCATATAATTCATCTACTTTTAATGCAAAATATGAGCATAAGGCAGTGTTTGTGTTTTATTTTAGGGAGGCCTTATCATCTTCTATTGCTACAGGTGATCTTATGCTTCCAAATAAGGCTTCTCTTTATTTGACGGCTATTGCAGATGCCGACTACGGAGGACAAAATTGAATGTTAGCTATTTCTTCTCAGGCTTTTTCGACTGAGTATTTATAACTTACTAAATCTTTACTCTTATGATAGTATTTTTAACACATAACGTTTTCATATTATCAATAATATCATGTATAATTGTATAATCGGTCAAAGTATGACATCATTGACTTCAAAAATTAAATTTGGCTAAATAAAAAGGGACGAAGAGAGTATATATGTTGTGTATTGTGTTACATATGGAAATTTTAGTACTAAATTTATGTATGCTATTGTGACGCCATCCAACGGAAGTGTAGCCCAACAAAAAGTTGGTTGTTGTTGTGCCGATCAAGCCAAGCTATAGAAGTGCTTCAGAAAGGCAAGTTAGATGAGCATGATTTGAAGAAAACGCTTAATCTGAATAAGCATTAGGATATCAACAATTTTTTAATGTACTCGCTTTTCATTATTCTCAAAGTCACTCGATATTGCGTTTAGAATGTGTTCCCCCTAACATGAGACTTCATACACCTATAAGTTAAAAAGGGACAAACTCAAACTTCACATCATCTAGGTGAAATACAATGGACAATTCATCTTTTTGACTTTGTACAAATGAAGTAATTTTTAAAAGGTTTACACACTATAAATTACATTGGGCACCAGTATACTCGCGCAACGCGCGAGACAACACCTAGTTATAATAACGCGTGTTGCGCGAGAAGATAATGCCCAATTTTAGTATCTATGTAGACAATACTAGCTTTGGCTCGCGCCTTGCGCGAGGGTCAATGCCCAATAGGGGATAAAAATAATAAGCGAAAGAAGCAAAAGTGAAATCAGAAAAATATCGAAGAACAATTTCAAAAGACAGCAGTTTAATCTCCGCATAAGCAAAAAAAGTCTAACAGGGGAAATCAGTAAGTAATACAACAGTTTATTGGTGTTCATATAGCAAACAGCAAAATGCATGATACCACATCAAAAGACAACAGTTTAATATTCGCATGAGCAAAAAGAAAGAGTCTAACAGCGGAAATCAACAAGAAATACAGCAGTTTAACGTTGTTAAAAGCATTTGGGAACGATTGTTTTATGCATGATACTAGGGAGCCAAACATGTCAACCAAAGCAGCATAACTTCAATCCCTTGTAAACATTATAGAGCAGTTGTTACTCATTTGCTGGGGAGCCAAACGTGTCAACCAAAGCAGCATTACTTATTTTTTACAGGTTTGAAAAAGCATGCTCCTTTAATCTAATAAAAAGGCCTTTGTGACATTCCCAATAAGTCAAAACCTTATTTTTTTTCAAAAATAAAATTGCAAGCCGCATTAAAATAATTATCATAAATATCCTGTAAATATTTATACCCCCCTCCCCGCAGTGTATTTATTTAATCAAGTTAATGCATCTCAAGGAATATTCATTTCAGCTATAACAGCAGTAGCCTTCTCTTTTTTGCTATCACGTTTCATGAAAAGAGGTAGCTGTGATAGCTATTCATGTTTCTGTTTATCTTGTGATAGCCTTCTCATCTTTCTGTTAATCTTGTGATAGGTTCTTAACAAATATAATTCACTTGTAAGTGATTGTGATTTCAAACTTATTAGTATTCTATCTTTTCGAAAACAAAATGAATATTGTACTTTGTTGGTGATTAATCTATTTAAAAACTATATTACCTCATTTTTTGCAATTTTTTTATCAAAGCTCACAGTGTAACGAATAATAAGTAAATTTAAATTATAATGCCACACACATATAGTACAGGTAGCTTTTATTCAAAGCTCTACTAAAAAAATTAGTAGTAAGACTTCATGTCTAAAACTGACTTTTTACATATTAACAATTAAACCCTCTGTCTAAATGTATACAGGTTAAAATATCTATTTCGTTTCACTAAATTGTCCTTCCAGTGGAACCAATTGTACAAAATCAGCTTAAAAAAAGTAACAGGGATGGAGGGGGGAGAAATGGTAGATTTAGAAAAGTCAAAGTTTGTACTTTGTAGTGTTCAAATTAGGAAAGTAGACATTATTTAGGGATAGACCAAAAGAAATGTAAAGAGATAATATGGAGCAAAGGAAGTGTTATTTTTACTGCTTCACCTAGCTGAAAAAGTGCACTGATATGAAGCCAACAGTCATGGCTATGGACAACTTGAAGAGGCTTATCAGTTTATTTTTCCAGAATAACTGAGCTAGCAGTAAAAATTGTGCAAAAGAGAAGTGGACAGGTGGCATAAAAAGGGCGGAAACCAAACTGAAATACAGGACCTGTGCAAAATGGGGAGAAACAGCATGAGCTTCCTTTGCACCTGCAAGGAAGTTTCAGGAATGAACTCCAAATTAACCCTTGTAACAAAAATATATAAAAAAAAATAAAAAATCAGAGGGAAATAGTTTGGATACCTACAACTATACTCCCATTCCAGTGAACAAAAATGACAAAAACCACCAAAGTGATAAAGAACGAACTAAAAGAAGCCAAAAGATCCCACTTCATATTCCAGGATGATGAAATAATTGCCCTTATATCATCAAACAACTCTGCAAATTCCAAAAAACGATCGGTCACCATCAGCTAACCATACACTAAGGTTCTGTTTGGAAGCTCTAATGGGCTTATGCTGCAAAATAATCAGAATATGCATCCATTGACTTATTGGGCTGAAATTGATTTTACCAAATGCTATCCATTCAGAAAATTAAGCAAACGTAGTCCTATAGGCAAATAACCCTTGCCAAACGGGCCCTAAATGACACCCCTAAGAATATGCAAATTCAAAATGACAATTCTTCAAGGGGTATCTATAACAAGATCTGCTTTTGATGGAATCGCTGAATAAAAAGTTATTTGACTACTGACCTGATGCATGATGTGGGGAACTGTGAGTTGTATGGCTAATCAAATGGCTCTTTTTATTAGCATGATTAGTAACAGCTCTTCGTTTTCTCATGTTTGATCCCAATCTGATCATCCCATAGATCATTGGAGACAGCATACTCCATGTTGTCCTTCTGACGATCAAGAGTATAATCTAAAATCCCTGTGAATGCTATGAATACCAGCCACACAATATTTGTTTGTCGCACAAAAACAGACAAAGCACTGAGCTACAAAAAAGATATGGGTTAGAGTTGGAGCTTAAATAAGTCTTTTTAGTCCTTGTTCGGTTGAAAGATTTTGGAAGGGACAAGTAATACTTATGAAGCATGAAACTCTTGAGAAAGAGGATGTGTCCATTTCAGAAACACTTCAGAAATTCATCAAACACTTGTTTTTTGCTAAAAGTTGGTGTTTCTAGTTTCATATTTCCCCATGTTTCCCACACAAACATTCACACATGCATCAAAACAAATAACCATTCAATATAAAACAATTAAGTATTAGAACACATTCATAAAAGAAGTGTGGCCTGTTTGCCAAAGAAATTCACGGCTTCTATAAAATACAAACACATTCAAAATATTGTAAGGGAAAGAGAAAGAGGATACAAGCAGGGAACGGATAGATAAAATAAGTTCCTTAGAATCGATTGGGAGTAAGAGAAGCAAGTCTACATCACATATATCTAAAACACAGTTCTTACGAAGTCGCCATGGTGTCACCATTTCTTTTCCTCTTCTGTTCCATATTTACATGAGTGGTTTAGTAAACTCAAGTTCAGAAAGTGCATATTGAGGAGTTTCAGCACATGATGCACAAACTCAAGTTCAAAATTTTATCCAGACATCACAAGAGAACAAGAAAAACAAACTTTATATACTAACGGCCAACATTTTAATCCATGGGTGGGCTATTGTTGCTTGGAGGAGTTTCAGGCTTTTTCACAAAAGCGGGAACTATTGGCCTAATTGAGCCATTTCTCAAAGCTGTTATTTTGGTCTTCTCTTATTCAGTGTAGCCATCCAAGGCAGAAACTCTGACATATTGGGTAACAGGTGTGGGTGTAGAGCCATTTTGTTCTTTGATACCTATGGTAAAGAGCATTTTGGTTTATATAATTGGCGAAATAACAAATTTACAACATATTGATATAATTTCATGTTAACCTTACCATTTCTGAATAGAATTATTTAGGAGAAACATTCTTTACCTCCTCTCACATTGTCGACTTATCTTCAAAAGCAGCAACATCCACTTTAACCAGAAACCTTTGCCATCTGTGCATGACAATTTTAAAACAACCACTGATGATAAATACTTGCATAACAAAAAATGATTTCACTGCAAAAGAATGTGGAAAGGATGATTCCTGCATATTAGAGATTTATTAAAGAAAAATATACGCCGTAGTATCTATACACCAATTAGGATCTGCAAATTAGAACAATAAGCATACAATGAATCCATACGGCGGTGCATGAAGGGAGGTATTTGCTATAGAAAAGAGAAATAGAAAAAAAAACAGGAATGAGTACTCTAAGCACCAACCAGATATTGAAAATAAAGGTAACAAGCATAATGACCTTACCGCGCATTCAACATCCTGGTCGTTGATCATGCACCAAACCAAGGAGCTGCCCATAACGTCTGGATAATGGAGTGACATGTTCTTTGGGCATGCTGCACAGGATGAGTAACAAAGAAGAGCAAAGTAAAGACCAGAATAAGCCAAGCAGGCCTAAAAAGACCAAAAGACAGCAGCTAAAATACAGGAGGCCCTATAATTTTATCTAAAAAGAAGGCGCGGCTGCAACACCACACAACACCATCGCAGCAGCAGCCAAGCAGGCCTAAAAAGACCAAAATACAGGCTTCCCAACACCGCAGCATCAAAACCCGGGGAAAAAATCCCGAAAAACCCCATCATAAGTACGGCCTCACCGAAGAAATACAATCAGGTTCACAACCTAGGGGTACCCAGACAGAAACAGAAAGCAAAGACAGCAAAATGCACAGTAACCGTCTAAACCAAGAAACCCAAAAGCGAACGGTGGTCAACCGCAGCACACACAAAAGATGGTACAGAGAGAGCGAACAAAATATAAGCAAACAGCAAGAAAACTCACAGATTTGGAGCTGGGCAAGCAGAGCCAAAGAGAAAACAAGCGCAGAGGACGGAACAACGAAAGAATGAAAGGACCTCACCCCATCTTGTACAAGCCAGCTGCAAGCAAGTAAACGGTGTAAAGGAGGAGCGTACAGAGATCAAGTGGAGGAGGTTAGAAGCCTGTCAGAGATATTTCTTATGCGTCAATCAGCCCAACTTTAATCGTTTCCTCCGCTTGGCTTGTTTTTCCGGGTAAATTGAAATGGCGTTGGCCGAAAGAAAAGGGAAGAAAACGGAAGTTGCCCGTTAGTTGATGGCTGCGCAAAACAAATACTCCCGTCGGACTGTAGCAACGGAAAAAAGCCCAAGATAACTTCCTTTCACAAATTATATATAAGTAGATGTGTTCCTAAATTTTTATTATCATAATCATCATCACCATCATCATCAACAGTGACGGACCCAGAAGTTTTCTAAAGCGGGGGCACTACCACATGGATGACAATGGTTCGGGTCGGGTGCATCACTGGTCCATGGACGGATCTACGGGAGTGCCAACGTAGGCCCTTGTCACCCCAAATTTAAAAAATGTTTTGATTTTTAAGTCAAAAATTTTGTGTAAAAGTTTTTTTAAAAATATTCTTTGCATCGAACCAGTCTGGCCCAATATTTTTTGTAAAAGTTTATTTTGTCTAGTCTATTTAGATTATTCTTTTTAATTGCAAATAGATTATTCAATGTTCGTTTCAAGGACATAGATAGATTATATGTCTAGTTTTGAACTCATTAAGACCATTGTATCAAAATACTACCGTGTTAAAAAGTGAAGTAATACGTATAATTTTGTTATTTCATCCTTTCATACAACTTTTGTTATCTCAACATCCATGAATTTGCAGAAAATTTCAATCAGCCTCACGTCTACGGTCAACATTCAACAATCAACAATGGATATCTCTAACTCATCAATGTGTAAGAACAAATGCGCTAAAGTTTCTGATGAGTCGAAGATAAGCAAATCTGACAGTCAACAAATAATCACGTCTACTTTAATGAGACAAACAAATAATCACGTCTACTTTAATGAGACAAATATTCAAGAGATTCACCTTTATTTCATTAGCTCAAAGCTATACCCTTGCAATCATTTCTAATTTGCATTGGCCCCATTAAAACTGATTGAATGTCTAGATTGAAAGTTTTGCCTCCAAGAATCAGCCTGAATGTTGAACTCCGTTAAAATGGGATGTATTTTTTAAACCTGAATTATACATCAATGAGCATAGATTGAGTTAAATTTAATGTCTTTCTTCATTTGGGCAAACAGGTGTAAGGGAAACACTGTCAATTTAGTTATCCATTTTTCTACCTTTTTCATTATATGATATAATGAAAAATGTATTTCTTTTTACAGGTAGTTCTCATTAAAGTAGACGTGATTATTTGTTGACTGTCAGATTTGCTTATCTTAGACTCATCAGAAACTTTAGCGCATTTGTTCTTACACATTGATGAGTTAGAGACATCCATTGTTGATTGTTGAATGTTGACCGTAGACGTGAGGCTGATTGAAATTTTCTGCAAATTCATGGACGTTGAGATGTAGCTTGGAGTTTGAGAAAAATAGTCTTAACCTTGATTTTTTTTTTTATCTCAAGGTTGACTCTTGGAAGCTTTGATTGTAGTGTTGACCTTTGGTGTTGGAGTTTTGGACTTTGAAGTTTGAAGTGGCTCAAAAACTAGCTCTTAAAGAAGGTAGATGGAAAAAATGCTCTTCTCAAGTATAGGAGAAAAAGGAATCTTTTAAACTTTCTCACACCTAAACTCCTTGGGAACTTTTGAGCCTATAAATATGAACCACTCTTCACTTAGTATTAAAAGGTGAATGAGAAGAGGGGAGCTCTCGTTACGAGCAATAACGAGCCTATAAATATGAACCACTCTTCACTCTTATTTTTCATCCTCAATTTAATAAGGTGTCATCTTTACAGTGTGATTCATGTCAATTTGCAAAACATCATCGAACTAGTTTAAGTCCCCGAGTCAATAAACGAGCACATGCTCCTTTTGAACTTGTTGCTACCTTCCTTGTTTCATGTTGGATTTACCAGGGCGAAAGTTTCTCAGCGTCTGGAGTATGTGGCCTTCGGCAGGACGTTGGTTTTGATAGTTAAAGGTCCTGGTTCGCCGGGACTTTGTTTACTGAGTAGAGCTCTGGATTGCTACTCTAGGGACACCTGGGGTCTCATTCGCTTGAATTTGTTCATCCTTTTGGCTGCTAGCTTGGTGTGCCTAGCCGGTTCTTCAACAATTTGAGTTTTCTTCTTCTTTAGACATCTGCTCCGTTTTGGCCATGGCGGACGGATGCCATTTCATTTTCATCTGTCCGAGATTGCTGTCTTATATGGTCGCTAGTTTGATGGTGCCTAGCTTGTTCTTCGCAGCATCGTTGATCTTCTTTCTCCGGATATCAGTTAGAATCTGACCATTGTCTTCTTGCTTTCCGGTTGCCATCAGTACTTCCTCGTCTTCTAGGAGGTTTGTGTTAGCATATTTCCTTGATTGGTGTGATCTGCTGTTCCCTGTCCTTGTGTTAGGAACCGGACACTATCATTTATTTGGGTATTTTAATGTTTTTCAATAATAGGGTTCTAGGCCCAAGAACTTAAGTCAGGGCTGGCCCTTTTTAGGAGAGCTTTATTATAAAAAGGGGGTTAGGGGGCAAATACTATTGTACAACCGGCTGTACCTAGAGTATGGTACAGTCGGGTTTTTTTGTAATTAAATACAACCTTTAGGGTAAGAGTTAGGTTAATGGTTGATAATGTTTTTATTTTTCCATCGGCTCTCTTCCTGCCGTGTCCTCTTCCTTCCGGCTTCCGTTGGTTGGTTGTACTTTCTTTGTTTTCTCTTTTGTTTTGTTCGTTGCTTTCCACTTTTCTTTCTTTGCTTTTCAGTTTTTCATTGCTTTTCAATTTTCAAAGCTTTATTTGTTTTCTTTTTAAATTCTTTCTTTTTGTTTAAAAATGCTTTCTTTTCTTTATTTTTTAGCATGCTTTAATTTTCATTCAATTATCATTAAAATGTATAATATAAAATATTATTTAATGTTTGAGTTTGTTTCTTCTTCTTTTTTCAATCAACCTTCTAACTTAAGTTTTTTTTTTAATTTGCGCATAAAATATTTTAGTTATTAATTTTTTAATTGTTCTTCTGTTTTTAATTTTAAGATGAGTATTTGTTAGTTTATTACATATTATGAGTTAATTACTAACATGAGTTTTGTGTTATTCTAAAATGAGTTGTTGGATAATTGATACCCATATTGTATAAACAGGAGAAATTGAACAAGAATCAAAAGGAGTAATGGAGAAGAAGAACAAAAATGTGTATTGTGTATGAACTATGAGTTATTGAGTTATGGTTTACAAGCCTCCTATAAGGAGTATATATAGGGAAAATCCGGGTCTGGGCCTCTAATATGGGCCTGACAGACCCGGTTACATAAACGGACTGATAGTATAAAAAGCTGATCTAGAACATCTGAATAATAATAACAATGTACAATAATATTAATGATATCCCCTAAACGTGTGTGGGCCGCTGTCCAGGCCTAGTAGTCGGCGTACCGGGGGGTCGGAGTCCATATAATCCATCAGGAGTCCCCCACTCCCTGAGTCGAGAGTACTCGAGGCGAAAGGGAGTAGTCCAAACTGTATCTGCAACGTTCTTCCTCTTCGGCCGGGGGACCACCACCCTTGTCCATTATGGGGAGGTGCCTCGTTAAAAACCTTTATTAGGAAAAACCCAGTGGGAAAAAATCCTAATAAAGGGAAAAAGAGTACACCTAGCGCCCCCAACATGAAACAAGGAAGGTAAATCCCCTCCGGCATAATCAATCTAGCTCAGCTCCTCTTCAACTAACTCAGCTCTCGTTCCTGCTCTTGCGTGATATTTTCTGCTCATCTAGAAATTCTGACCCCTCAGTCCCCCAGTCCCCACTCTTTGAGGCGAGTGGAGACGAGGTGAAAATGAGTAAAGTCATCTTCGTACCTACACATTTATCATACATATTTTTTTTTTTCTTGGGATTTATGTTCCCGATCGGGAGTTCGTTACTTGAAACAAGTGGAGATGTGAATTGTTAATGTAATGATAAAATACTTAGTAGAATGGATGTGTGAGCCATTCATAAGCAACGGTCGCCACTCGAGGAATGACTAAGACCGGTCTTCGTGCCTGAGAGGTCAGGGCTTTGTGCCTGGGTCAGGGCCAGGGCTTTGTGCCTGAGAGGTCAGGACTTTGTGCCTGAGAGGTTAGGGCTTTAAATCCTAGTGATGGGTCTCAATCCACACTCTACTAGGCATTTGATCATAAGTGCGTGATAGTGTGATATTTACCCGACTAAAAATATTGATTAAAATAAATATAAACAGTAATAAAAATCAAAGATACTTATCTTTTTGAAGTGGGCAGAAATACCGGCCCCGTTGAAATGAATATAATATGTTGATCCTTAGTCCCATTTCAAGTGGAAAAAAGTCTGCTGACTATGAATATACTCCGTATTTGACTATTCGTTCTGTCAACACAAGGATGAAATGATCCCACGTATGCATTCTTTTAAGGCCACAGATCTCAAAAGGTGAACAGTCAACTGATTTGTACGGATTATAACTCTTCGTCTGTCCATCAAACCACGAGCTTGTGTCCATCACACCGGCTCGTCTTCCATCTGCCCAGCTCACCTTGAAGCCACTGATTAGCAGGTAGGGCTTCAATTGCAGTTGTCGCTATCACTTGTGGGGCCGTGGGATACTTGTGCGTTGAGGAGGGAGGTTTAGAGTACTTAGCTTTTATTTGGACTGGTTTTGGTGTGCTGTCGAAATTAGGCCTCGAGCATCTCCACCATTAATTTTGACCTAGCCCCTGTGAACATCTCGTAAAGCCAGATTCTTTTGAGCAGATCCGCCTCCATCTAGCGCCAACTCCTGCAAAAGCTTCTGCCAGCTTTCCTGTTCGGCAAGTAGGATCTTGCCTGGGAGTTTTCTGTGAAGACGCCCATGAGCTTCCAGTCCAACCGCACCTTGTGGAACCACACTAGAAGATACCAGTCGTCGGCGATGGGGGAAGGGCCTTCGGCCGCTGGTTCCGCCGCACAAGCCCTTGGAAACCGATAAGGGAGGCAGAGCCCATTGCCGGAGTTGCTGGACGAGAAACCTAGCCTGGTCGCTACTTTCTGGCGAATGAGGTAACAATGTAGAAGATTCTACACGCACAACGCCTGGAGCTAAAAGCGGCGGTAACGACGCAGCAAAGAAGAGGAGACACCTTCTGCGCTGGAGCTCTTGATA